TGCTACAGGCCTGTAGTCCCAGCTACCCAGGGGGGTGAGGCAAGAGAACTGTCTGAATCTGGGAGGCAGAGATTACAGTGAGCCGAGATTGAACCACTGCACTCCAGCCTGGGCGACAGAGCAAGACTCTGTCTCAAAAAATAAATAACTAGTAAAAATAAAATACAGATGAAAATATATACCACGCTTTAGCATTTAGGTTAATATCCAATGTTGGCAGTATTCAGGAAAAAAGATGCTGTCAGCACTTAGGGAGTGTGCAAAATGGTACACAACCTGTTTTAGGGCAATTTAGTATTTTGTACCAAAACCTTTAAAACAATGCATCAATCTTAATAAACAGCAATTCAAACTTCTAAAGCTTTATTATTCTAATAACTAAAAATGAAAGCAAAGATATAACTATAACCATATTATTATAGTATTAATACTAGCTAGCAACTTTAACTGTCTTGACAATATGATCAAGTATCATATAGTCAACCTATAGAGCCCATTAAAGTCTACAATTTGACCAAGAGATAGGTTATGAAAGAACATAAGATATCAAAAGATAATCACAGTTTAACTCCAAATTTAAAAGGCAATCATAGAACATTACAGATACATATAAACAAGAATACTACATGTTCCTATACTAAAGAGTTATCAATGGTGACAGATGACAGATAAAACGAGTATTTATTTTCTTTCTGCTTTTTTGCATTTCTCAATTTCTGCAACGAAATATATTAACTTTATTTTTTAAGTGCTTTAAAAAATGCACAGATCTAACAGTAGAAGGAATGCACAAAATTAAAACAGTGGATATGTGGAATTATGTGATTTTCTTTTTCTTCTAAATTTTCTCTTTGAATGACTTTAAGATAAAATTCACCATTTTCAAGTGTATAATTCAGTGGTTTTTAGTATATTCCCAATGTTGTGAAGTTATCAGTGGTTAAGTTACATCTATTATTAAAAGCAAAATAAAAACACAGAGCTCAAGGAAAAATTTTAAAATCATTAACTCAAAACATTTCAAGGAGCCAACATCTTAATAATACCACAAAAATGCTTATAGGCCTACATACAAAATGAGCCAATATTATTTTTGAATTTTTTCAAATAACCTAGTAAACTGATATAGATATTATTCTATCAATTCAAACATCAACAGGTAGTGGGGGGAAATGACAACTAGGATAGTCAAAGTATATCCTATCGCTAACTAAACACGTCCTAAACTTTCTCTGTTAAGTTATATACAAAAAAAAATTATGATAAAATCTGAATCCCAAAAAATGGCTAAACCAACATGCTCTAAGCTCTCTCCCACTGGAAAAAAAAAAAAAAAAAAGGAAATGCCAATCTGCAACTAAAGACATGTAGCATACGTCAAATATATTACTGACATATCATTAAATTTTTAAAATTCTGTATCACAAAAATTTTGCAAGTTCAAGATTACAGAAATGACTGAATTTTGGATTCTCTCTTCCTAGAATTCAGAATAATAGGTTTAATACTACCTGTTTTAAAAAATGTTTCAAATTAGATAAAGCAATCTACAGTCTTCTGAGTTCTGCCTCCTTGAAAATTTCTAGTAAAAACAGGGTATTACAATTAAAATTTTATTCTCTATCATAGTTAAGTCTAATTAGGGAGCACACTAATGACAATCAAGTTCCAAGCCAAACAGGTTAGACAACTTCACTGAATAGAAACCTACATATCTTTATTATGTGATGTGCCTAAATTTTTAAAGATTCAAAATCAAGAATTCTAATCTCCCCATCAAATTGCCAAGCAGGGTCTCCAAAATCCTGGACAGTCTACCTTTCCGGCCTTATTTCTAAGGGTAAAGTTAAATCTTAGGGATCAGATCCTACAGTCAGTGTGCTGTGAGAAAATCTTTAAAAATTACTTATATCATCCAAAAAGCACAATTACATACAAGCTAACAACGTATCTTCCTCCTGCACTAAAACAGATAACTGTCTCTTTGAGTACATAAAAAGTGACTGGTTTGTCTTTAGGTGCCCTGTTGTCACCAGACTTCCAGCAAAGTGAGATGTTCACACTATCAAACTATGTGGAAGCTGATAATGACTAGGGGAACAGCAAATGTACCTCTCCCACTTCACACCCACTCTAGGCAAGATGCTCATTCCAGTGGACTAACAGGAAAAATTACTAGTACTATTTAGGTTCTCTAGTTCTCATTCCCCTTCATTCTCTTTTTCATTTTTTTAGGGAAAAAAGAACATCTAGTCGAATTCATCTAAGTTCAAGGCATATTGGACGTACTCTATTATAAACACTGCACTATACCCAGTATCCCCAAAGGAGCCTCTGCATGGTGGTTAAGAACATACCATAGACTGGGTTTGGCTGACTGGGTTTGGTTCTGCCATCTGCTAGTAATGTAACCATGGGAAAGTAACCTAATCTCCGTATGTCTCAGTTTCTTCATCTCCAAAATGGGATAACAATAGCTACTTCACAGGACTGTTATTAAGAATTGTCAGTTAGTAGATAATGCATATAAAGACCTTAAAACATTGCCTGGCACATAAAAAGTTATGTAAATGTTGGCTATTTTTCCCCCAACTGGACTGCTCCCTCAATCTTGGCTCCAATTCTATCCTTCAAAAATCTGTCCTAATGCCTCCCTTTTCAAAATAAAGCAATAATAAATCTCTAACCAAAGGCAAACTCTCCTATACCCTTAAACTTCTATGGCTCTTAACTTTTGTATGATTCTACTGACTCATATTTTTATGTGGTTTATCTTGTCATATAAATCAGGAGCTCCTTTAAGAGAGAAAATATGGGAATATACAGCATGCCTCTTTGATACAAATAAGTCACTCAAGTAACTACTCAGTAAATATTGCTTATGAAGTAAGATTATTAGATAAAGGTTTTCCAGCAAAGTACAAAGAGTTTCATTAAAAAAAAAATCTGTTATAGATTCTCAGTTGATATCAACGTGTAAGTTGTAAACAAAGAGTTGTAATGTGGGAGCCAAATTTATTCTGAGTTTAGATCTCAAAAATGAGGATTTAGCTGATAAGGAATAGCGTGAAGTTTTTAAGTCAGGAATATTAAAGCAAGGTTAGTTTTAACTTTCTATGATTTGCAAATGACGCTGTTAGATTAGCCTAAAACCTATAAAATAAATCAACGTATTAGATACTTAAAAAGTGACTATGTGTTAGCCACTACAACTATATAGATGAAAAGATTTAATATCTGTACTCAACACATCTATTCAAATGTAGTTAATTAAACAATGTTCAAGCCTCAGTGGGAAAACAGAGTAGAGATATTAACACTTGAAAGTAAGGATATTAACACCTACTTTTCTTTAGCCTCAGCTGAAGTCTTATCATTAGGAAGAGAAAAAAGAAAAGATGAATTTCACAAAGGGATTAATTAGAAAAGCTAGTAAGTAACATACATGTAGAGATTAAATATTTCCTCTAAAAATCAAAATCAGATGTGTATTCCATTTTTTTTCCATTTGGAAAAATGCCACAAAGATTTTAAATCAACTCTCTGTCCTTGATCACCAGACATTATCCCACTAAGTATATGTTCAAAGAGTTATTCTTTAAACTAAAATTCTAATGTCAAAAGAAATTTTTTAAATTGCTACAGTTCTCCTAATGAACCTACGAGGTTTTCTCATAAGTGAAAAATATTTGTCTACAGTTCTTCACTTAAGATTATTACTATTACATATGTAAAGGGAAGATTCAGTGTTTCCTCATATAATGATGATGTTACCAAACTGCAAAAGAAAAGGTATGCTCTGCATTATTTTATCCCTCTATCTAAACCCACCTCTACTCCACAGCAGCAGTTTGCAAGCTAGATATACTATACTTCTACTTAACAGGAGATACATAGACGAGAAAACCAACTCTATAATAAAGTATGAAATTTGCAAATTTTGTACCATGTTTTAACTGTGAACTATTACAACGTATACAACTTCCAAACAGCCACAAACTGACCAACAGGTAAAATATTGCAGCCAATAAATAAAATATTCTACCTCCCAATAAGGAGTATTTCACAGCTAGTTCAATTAACCTAATTCGGTGCCAAAATAAAAACACCAAACATTAAAATATAATTCACACAACTGTGTACTACCTAAAAAGTCCAGCATCAACTCAATTTTCTCCATTAAGGATAGATTAATCCACTACCCTGCAATTCACCTTCTTAAAACAAGTAGTAGAGAAATACAACAAAGTTGCACTACACAATATTCATAACTTAGGTTCTAAAGTCAGCTTATATGAGGTGAAAATACTGTATAGTTATTTAAGAATAAGACTGTCATTGAAGATTACTACTAATCTTACATATGGTAAAGGCACAGTATGTTTCTTCATATATAATAATGGGATGTTACCAACCTACAGTCAAAATTATCCTTAACAGTATCTTCAAATGGACTACAGGCAGGGTAAGACATTCATGGGATAAAACACAAAAGAAAACTGAGACTGAATTAGAGAAGGAGGACAGTCATGTTTTACTCACTCCAGTGCTTACATTCATTATGATTCAATAACTGCATTATTATGATCCTCTATCCCAACTTTCTTTTCAAAATTCAGAGCACAATATGTTAAATGCTTATATGATACTCCACTATGGCATGTAAGCCAGAAAACAAAACTATACTGTAGTAATAAGTAACCACCAGATGCTATTTTCTTTTGTAGCACTATCAATTGAAGATTACTTCCCTAGTGTTCCACTCCAACACTATTATCTACCACTTTTCAACTTTTAGTTTCTGTCTTAAAAAAGACACAAGAAGGCATAAATCCCGTTATACCGCTGAGTTAAATTTTAAAATGTATGCATATAGGAGATAATATAACATATGGTCACTATAGATAATCTGTGCTAGTATTTTCTTAAATTTGTTCAGAGTTGATTAACAGTTTAAAACTCAAACCAAAGTTCCATTTTAGTAAGAAATTGTATCTTACCCACTACCATAAGCGTGAATTCAAAACCTCTCTTCACTGATTTTCTGTATACTTGATTTGGGAGATTGGCAAATCCCACATAGCCTTCAAGGTTCTTCTGTTGCTGACAAAAGCAAAAAGGGCCAAGTTATTCATGTATCAACAATGCTATTCTGTCATAGGCTTCAAAATCCCTCCATTAGCCTATTTTAGAAAATTATACAAACTATTTCTACGGCATTATCAATAAAACTATCAATTAATTCCTAAATGGACAAAATTATTTAAGCATGAGTTGACTGACAATATAATGGTTAATTATAAAAATCCAAGGGAATAAAATAAACATTAAAGAAACCTGCCTCAGAGCAAAGATTTCAATTGACAGTTAAGTTAGTGGCAAGATGATTGACCAACCAATTAAAAAAAAAAATAACAAAAAACTTTTCACAATAAAAAAATTCAAATCCCCTTAAAATCATATTAAGAATCCTTTTTAATTATCTCCTTTGATCACACTAATTAACACAGGTATGAGATTCTTGAAATTTGTCGTCTTCTTCATGATATGAAATCAAAATGTTGAATTTAAAGCAATTTTTAAAAATAAATTCTTGAAGGCTCTTGTGATCAATGTCAACCAGCTACAGTATCTTTCAAGCTGTTATGCCAGGTCCATTACGTCACTTCAAGGTGTTATATGATCTTTATTTTCAGGCTTATCCAGGTTTGAAAGTAAATTATAACTTCATTTCTATTGGTTTTTGATTCTTAGATGACCTCAACAATAGTTTCATGAGTAATTCAAAGAAATCTACTTCCAAATTGGTGTAGTAAATAAGTATGATTTTTAAGTTACCCGTGGGTGAGAAATACTGTCCATTGTTAAAACTATCTGAATAAGCAGTCTTATTGGTTAATTTTACTTTAGAGGTAGTCTGATTTCAACATTAAACAATAACAGCAAAAAGAGGCACACCCTCTTTTGAAAGTTTCTGCCACATTTAAATTCTCATTTAAAAAACACTCATGAGATCAAAGCATCAATTCAATACACCTGGATTTAACAAAGAACAGAAGTCTACAATGTTGACTAGTAATGTAGCTAAATATTCCATCCATAATCTTTTGCCCTTTTGTTCATTCATAAAAACTCTTATGCCAAATTTTTAAAACTAAGCCCATTAAAATGAAAAGCTAACTGTAAACAATGATTAGGAGACTAAACAGAATCCAATATTTTTAAGTCAAATATATGAAAGTCTGCTATGAGTAAAGTTAGAAATACGTATTAAACCTAAGGTTTCCTTGGCTCATGTATCATCCAATTTTAAGTTAAATTTAAGTTAATTGAGACTGAAAAAAATCTCTGTATAAATTATGTAGTATACTCACAGCTACTTTGTAAAGAACACATTTCCATCATTCCAGTGTTCCAGATTCCAACAGAAGAAATCCACAGAGGAACAGTAAACAAAGAATTCCAAGAATTGTAATGATATATTCAGTCCAAACAGGAGAGGCAAATCCGTTGAAACACAGCAAAAGACAGAGAAGGAAAAAAAGTTACTTACATGTAACTCAACAAATTACAAAGAAATTAAAGGCAGACTTTTTTCTAAACATGTCAAAGTAATATTTTTTGTGTGGGATATAATGTCCAGTGAAATTAAATCCATTTTCAGCAACTGTTCTGATTAATATAAAAAAAGGAAAAGGCCTATTACTACACCCTGTATATGAAGTCTTATAGAAACAGTGTAAAAGATATAAAACTATAAAGTTCCAGGAAGGTATACAAGAACCGAGTTTTAAATTACAAGAAGAAAAAAACGTAAATTTCATGCAATTTTGCTTTGTCAGTCACTGGAAGTCCAGATCAGACAAATGCAAATGTCTTTTTAAAAATCTTTTTCTACAATGCTATATTTCAAATTCTATTAATTAAACTGAAGTCCAGAATTTAAAGAACCGTAGACATGTAGATACAGGAAAAGGAAGGAAGCTAAAGATGATAGGCAGAAACAGGTGAAAAGAGGAGGCAAAGGTGAACTGTTAAAACTGAAGGCCAACTAATGAAGCATAGACAATAAAATAGATAATCCTTGACCAAAGTGTGAAAAGTGTACATTTTTAAACTGATACAAATCTATGAGTTCTATCACAACCCGCTTCAAACAATTTGAGTCAGTTTTATAGTTAAAAGTAAAAGCCAAAGTCTCAATAATGGCCTACAGTGGTTCTCTACCTTAGCAGCATCTTAGAATCACTTGGGGGAGCGTTTACAAAATCCTAATGCCCCAGCTGCACCTCCAAATCAACTAAATCAATCTCTGCAAGTAAGAGCCATCCACCAGTATTTTTTAAACCTCCTCGAGTAGTTCCAACATGCACCATTGCTAAAAGCCACTAGCCAACAAAGCCCAGCAAGATCTGGCTCTACTCTTACTTCTGGCCTCATCTCCTGCTACTCTTCATCCTCTTGCTCACTTCTCTTCCTCCAACGCTGAATTCGTAACTACTCCCTAAACATACAGGGCATACTTTCACTTCATGGCTTTTGCACTTGTTGCTTTCCATATCTAGAAATGATTATTTTTATTACTTAAATGTCACCTTCAAAAAGGCCTGCCCTGATCACCTTATTTAAAATTACAACCCCACTCCTCGCCTTAGCAGTTTGCTGCTTGCTGTATGCTTCTCCTTAGCTCTTAACCACCATCCAACATACATTTTACTCATCTTGTTTACTGTGACCTCCACCGTGCCCGCAATGTAAGCTCCATCAAGGCAGAGACTGAATAAATTATATAAATTGTGCATCAAAGAAAATGTATACAGAGAGAATACAGTATTTTAAACTGCACCTTCAAAGAACCCATCAGGTAAAAGGCATAACAAAAATGCCTCAGTCTGTCCTTGTTTCTTACTCACTACTTTATCCACAGCAACAAGAACAGTCTTTGGCACACAGTACTATTTTAGAACTGAGAAAAGCAAGAAAGCATTCCAGGCAAAGGGGTGGGCCCTAAATTGGGGATAAACATGATATTTCTAAGAGTAAAAACGTTTGTGAACTATAATGAAGTGAAGTAGTGGACAAGGGGATGAGTGACAGGAAACGAGGTCAGGGAGGCAGGCAGGGGCCAGATCATGTGGGACTCAGCCAAAGTAGGAAGTTTGGATGTTATTTTAGGCATGATGGGAAGCCACTAGAGGGTTTTTCACAGGCAAGTGACCTGATTACTACTTTAAAGATAGCTCTCGGCCATCCAGAATGGCTCATGCCTGTAATTCCAAGACTTTGGGAGGCTAAGACAAGAGGACTGCTTGAACCCAGGACATCGAGGCCTCTGAGCTGTGATTATGCCACTACACTCCAACCTGAGCAACACAATGAGAAATTTCATGGTTGGCTGGTGCTGAAAAATTAAATTTAGGACTCATCACAATACAGATACTATTGAAAAAGAACTGGATTCCTGAAGACAGACTACAGACAAAAAGAAGGGGGTCGAGACAAAGCCCTGGAGCACTCCAACACTGAGAGGTTAGGCAAAGAAAGACCGGCAGTGGAGAAAGAAAGAAAATCAAGACCATCTCAGGGATGGAGGAGTCATTTAACCATGTTGAATGCTACAGACAAAAATGCCATAACAGACATGCTGATAAAATTTGGAAATAAGGTCACTGGTAACTTCAAAAACAAGAGCAGTCTCAGTAACACGGTGTCAAAGAAGAGTAACTAGGATGACTTTCAGTAGACAATTATTTGCATGTAACTATTATAATAAATAACTTTAATGTTTTTTAATAAACTTCAACATTTTGTTAGTTCCCCCATATGACTGATTTCCCAGAGGGAGAGAACCATGTCATAGTCATCTCTATGTCCTTAGCAAAGTGCTGACACACAGTAGGTATTTTAAAAATCTGAATGACTGCTCTTTCAGGAAAACATCTTCTGAGAAAGAAACTGTACAAAGACAAAAGATTGGTTTGGCTCTGCTAAAAACATATTATCCCAAAATTCATATAAAAGTGTCCTATCAGAAACAAAAATATGTCTCTGAAGCTACCTGGCACAAAAATACTATTTAGAAAACATACTAATAACTTGGCTAGACATGGTGGCTCACACCTGTAATTCCAGCACTTTGGGAGGCCAAGGCAGGCCGATCTCTTGAGGTCAGAAGTTCGAGACCAGCCTGGCCAACATGGTGAAACCCTATCTCTACTAAAAATAGAAAAATTAGCTAGGCATGGTGGTTCCAGCTACTCCAGAAGCTGAGGAATGAGAATCACTTGAACCTGGAAGGCAAAGATTGCAGTGAACCAAGATAGCACCACTGCACTCCAGCCTGGGCAACAGAGCAAGACTCTGTCTCAAAAAAATAAAAAAATAAATAATTTAATACTGGTTGATTAAAACATATAGACTTCTCCTACCTTATAAGAATGCTTCTATACCCTAAATTCTAAAATCAACCATAGTCTGTATTTCAGAAGACCAACCACTGATTCTTTCCCTGCACAAATGTTCACAGTGCCAGTGTAAAGTATCTCTGGATAAGGAAACATTATTTACAGATGTGGGTGATACAGTGGTAGCATTTATAAGCATGTATAAATAAAAGTATATTCACCCAAAAATAACCCCATGTCTTTAAAGTATTCATTGACTTTAAACATTAGTCATATAAGGAGAAACACTTATCAAATAATCTTTTCTAAAAGCCTATCTGCTAGATGTGCTTTACAAATTCTTTAGTTGTTAAATCTACATGTTAAAATGCAGAGCTAAGAAAAATCAAACTACAGTTATTCCACTGCTTGATGGAAAAAATCAACTTAAATACAGTAACCCGTAACTTTAGTTCTAACCTTCCTTCTAAGGTTAAGTAAGTTCAGCACAAATATATTCAAAGACCAGCATGCTTCAAACAAGTTCTAAGAGATAGCTCATTGAAACTCTTTAGGAATCTTTATTCTTTGGAATAAGAACAGATGGCAAGAGAACATAAAGTTATCCAAATCTTGCTATCTAAAACCCCATTACCATTTTTAAAGTTCCAAATGCCAATTTTCAACAAATTTTCCAATAGATAAAAATTTTCCAATAGA